CTAAGTAACCTCCTGGGCTTGCAGACACTGCCGGGACATCCTTACTTGTTTTCCATTTAATAGCGGAGGGCTGATAAAAGCAACCCTACTAAATTTAGCCTCTGAGCTCATTTCATCACTAACCTGTCCTCCTGACAGAGGTCTCCGAGGACAGAGGAGCGGAAGCACAGGGGACACCATGCTAGGTGGGGATCAACCTATTTAACAGGCACAGATCTGCAGCCAAAAATGGTCATGAAGAACACTGTGCTGGGCTCCGAAACAACTGCCGTCAGGACAAATCGCACAGGACCCCGCGTCGGGTCTGACGGCCACACTTATGTTAACCCCAGAGCACACCCTTAATCCTAGTCTACAGAGCTATCACATACCTAGACCTGTAAATGCTACTGCAGTATCAACACCAGAAACTTGGTCCAAGGTAAAGCTTGAACCAGTCTGGAGAAGTAGAGATTGAAACTGAATCAAATCCTCCTTGTCTTTCTACTTTTTTCAAGTCAATAGAGAAAAATACCTAAATTTTTCATCAAAAAATGGTTTAATTCAAATGACATTTTACTGAAACACTCAAATGCTTGGGAAAATAACAGCCCCCGAGAGCACGGTGACAGCCCCGAGGGGCAGCGACTCTACTGTACAGACGAAGCGGTGGTCTGCTGCTGTCTTGTCCTGTGAGGCAGTGGGAAGGAGGAGGGAAGGCGCATAGACACAGAAGGGCAGACTGGGCTGCTGAGCTTTGCTGCTCAGATTCGGCCTTAGGGAAGGGAACTGGGCACAGAGAAATGGAGGCAGGAACTGCGTTTCAAAGAGGCTTGGTATGTCAGGGCAGGGGAGAGGGCAAGGAAGAGGAAAGGGTGCTCCTCCTCGCTCCTGTCAGACTCAACTCCTGTTGCTTTTGCTCTTCCTTTCCTTACAACCCACCGTTTTTAAAAAAATTATCTCTAATAAGAGATCTCGAATTGCTAAAGGTTTTCTTAGGGTGCCCACTCACTCTCTATACCACCTCATAAATCATCTAGTAGAGAGGTTTGAGCTAGTAGTACTCAGGCAAAAACACAACATCCCTGAACCAAAACATAAAATACTTCAAAACCAAACAGATCTGATATTACACATGGTTCACCACCACCCCCATTCCACAATGGAAAATCCAATGGTTGTTTCATTTTTGATGTTTTTTTTTTTTTCTCAAAAATTTTACATATGAATACATTCATCCTGGGGCATTGGCACATATACACATCACTTCTTAATCCTTCTGGCTTACCCTCCCCTTGCTTTCCCTCCACACCCACTATCCCTAGATCTCCTTTCCATCGCAAAAGCCTACCTCCCTGTTTTCTATCATCCATCTTTTAGACAATGATTCAGTTTCAAAACAAAGGTAGGCAAGCACCATATCACCACAGTATTATAGGCAACTGTAATTGCTATCTATACACCGTTGATAGCTCACACTCCATCTACACAGCCATTTTTTGTACATGAAGTTTAAAAGTTGTTTTTCACAAGTAATAAATGCAAAGTGTGAACATAAGCTAGTGACCCAGATTTACTGCTGAAAGAAAAAGCTCATAAGGTTACATCGTGGGATAAAATAACAGGAGTTAAGAATGAGTCATTTTCACTGTTTTGCAATTTACTACAATGGGTTCCCAAATGTTCTACCTTCTTACACCATCTTCCCTTTAAAAAAAGCTTTTTAATGCTTATATAAAAATAAAAGATATACTACAAAGGGACTGAAAATTCTGGGGAAAATGTAACTTCAATGTGAAGTACTATTTTCAGCTCTTTATGAGCTAAAGAAAAACTGATGTTAGTTTGAATATCGAGCTAGAAGGAGATCTCTTAGCTGGAAATTTAAAAAAAGAAGAGAAAGGGGAAATAATAGGGGAAGAATGCAAAAATGGCATGACCAAGACAGGAACGTAAGTTTTCATAAAGCAGAGTAAGAAAAGATGTTGAACAAGGGAAAAAAACCATCAATTTCGATTTGTAGAAGTATTTTGTGCACGTTTTTCCAGAGCATGCTACTAAAATAGAACCCTACATGGTACACTAGAAGTAAATAAACACTGAAGAAAAATATCCCCTCCCAAATTTGACTCTTCATAAATGTGAGGCTAAATCACATAGGTCAACAACATTTGGATGTGTTCTTATCCTAATAGCACTGTCCTAGCTGCTTTAAGTGTCTTCTAGAACAATGAAGGGCATAAATAAATAAATTCATAAATAATTAAGAAGCTAGCTTCCTCCTGCTAAATGTCCTAGCTGAAAATAAAAGTTGCAGATTAAATTATGAATAGGGCAATGGTGCCAGGCAGATTTTTGGATAATTTACCTTCACTTTTAGAGGTTTGGGGTTTCTCAAAAATGACCTGCAAGCTCGAGGCTACAGACAAAAGTAGTAAACTGCTTTTAAAAATGCAATTTTGAAGCTGTGCTCCCAAAGGTACTGACTGAGAAGGGCAAGGGTCCCCAAGCATTTTTCGTATAAACTCCACAGTTTATACTTCACCATCTTCCCTTTAAAAAACTTTGAAAAATTCTTATATTTGGTATACAGGCAACTACTGCCTAAACTAAATGACCACTCTAATATGGAGATTAACAAGCTTATTTTCCAGCAAGAAACATGTTTCAGGGCAGAAAGGAACCTTTAAATCGAACTTATTCTTCTAAACCAACCTTGTAACCTTAGGTTGCCAGAAGTTACCCTAATGGAAATTATGCCTGTCCAATAGTGATGAAAATGCTGTCTACATATTCTGATCAAGCCACATTTGACAGCAGCAATGTAGCTGCAAACGGGTGTCAAATGTACTTCGATGCTTTAAGATAGCAATACAAGAATCCTTCACAAATGCTGCTTAAAATTTTATTGAATTTGCCTTGTGGGAAATTTTAGAGATCTGCAAAGATTACATATACACACACACACACACATATTGCTCATAAACATTTGCTACTACACCTTAAAAAATTCTAATTTGCTCTCATTTTATTTGCAACCAAAAATTGTTTAAGTATACTGTATGGGAGGCTCCTCAGGGATTCTTTAAACATTTAAGGCCAAAGTAGAAATGTTCTCTAGAACTCTTTTCCTTATTTCCTTCCTTATTTCTGTTTTTCTTGATAACCAACCTCATTCCCCTTACCTCCGCTTACACACACACACTGTGGGTAAGATTTAAATTTTTGTCTTTGCCTCCTAGTAGTTGCAAAGGCTTTTTGTTCATCCCTCAAATGTGCGTTTCTGAAGGAACACTGTGCACTGTGGAGAATGGGTAATTTCAATACCCAGTGGTATGTGCTATTAACCAAAGGGTTGCTAATACAGAGGTTTTTCCCCACCAAAGACAAAGAAAGTATTAGAGAGCACCAGAATGCACAGCAAAAACAACACAATAATATCTGAGTGAATGGAGTTGAGTAAAATACAGTAAGAGCTGTTTCTGAAAGTAACTCAGGGCTACTTCAGTAGGCCAACAATATATATATCTGGTACATCGTAGTCCTAGTCTACTTTTCTCTAACTTGTATTGAAGGCCAAAAAAAAAAACTAGTCAGTTACTACCTCTCCTGACGTAAGTCACAGGACTTCATGTTTGATTCCTAGGCACAGAGAGGTGGGGAAGGCAACGCCTAGCCAATCACAATGACTTCCTCACAGGAAAAAGGTTCGTGAAGGAAGACATGTCACTAGCAGTGAATGTTCATCCTCTAATGTATTCTGACCAAACCTAGATCTAACGAAGGGAGAACACTTAAACTGGTGGGTGCTGGACGCATACATGATCTGACAGTGACCACCAGAGCATGTCAAATTCTGACTTCATGGCATGAAACTGTTTTTACACATGACTTGCTGGAAAAGATAGCAAAATGTCCAACACCCATGCTTCAGCTGAAAGTGACGACTCTTTGGTATCTAGTATCTCTCATGGATTTACCCACAAACACATTTCAGTCATGTTTTCTACTTTCTCATAATATTGTCAAGTTAGAGCCAGAAGTAGAAAAGAAATTTCTTAATTGTTCGTTTACAAGAAGAAAATACTTTTCTTTTCCAAAGGAGGACTATTTATTTCCTTGATAAATACCTGAATGAATTACTTTACTTTATATATGTCCCTACTTTATTATTGAAATCGAAGGTTTTTTTTAAAAAAAGTTTAACTCAACATGCAGTCTTTGCAGATCTACTTAGTATCAAGTAATAGTGCCATCTAGGTATTTAACAAAAAATAAAATCTGAGCCTATTCTCAAGAACTCTCATTACCTTTGGGGAAACAGGAACCAGACATTACAGCACAGCATGGTGCCGGTCACCCTGAGGGGAGGGCGGGCTTTGGGAACAGCAGGAATCTGGCAGCCTGGGAAGCTGAGGAACACTTCCCGGAGAGGTTGGCAGGTGAGCTGCATTTCAAAGCACAGACAGGACTACACCAACATGAAGAAGGAGAAAGACCTTCTAAACCAAGGGAGTGTGAAAAAAATCTATGGGATGTCCACGGGAAGCAGTCTTCAGGGAACAAGGAGGGTTTTGTGGGGCTGAGGCACAGCGGGGAGTGATGTGCAAGACGGAACTGTGAAGATGGAAAGCAGCAACCACAGAAGACAGCATCTGATCCTGGGGGAGGGACAATGCGGGGCCCTGAGGGTGCCACAAGATGACTCTACGTTGCAAGCAGTAAATGTGGGGGCAAATGGGGCGAGGGAGAAGAGGCTAGGAGACAGCATGAAAGAGGAGGAATTACAGAGAGCAGGCCAGAGGCAATTCACAATACTTGTCAGGACGGCTTGATGCTATTACATGTTCAGGCCTTTTTCTCCCATCTGTTCTTTAGCTATACCTGAATTTTCTCCTTTAATTGTATGTCAAACCTGATACACGTTTTTCCTACCCAAAACACATCATGTATGGTTCATAAAATTACATTCTTCAAGTCAGTAAACATATCAGGGAAATACTTAAAAGATGATCTCTTACCTGAACAAAGCTGTTCCACTTTTGTGTAGTTTAAAGATACTATGTCATTAACCCATGCAATGATGTCATGTCTGCTCATAGTCTCCTGGGTTATCGAGGTAGAATACACGTTGACTGCCATTCCCCAACTAGGAATAAGCAAACAAAAATATATTTACCCACATGAAAACAAATTAATGTGACTCTAAAGGAGATCATCACAGAGAGGATCCTGGCAGAGCTTACGGGATATAAAAGTCCCCCTGCCTCAGCCTTTTCTTGGCTTACCGTTTTCTCACTGTATTCCACATATGTGCCGATCATAATTGCATTTCACAAGCTTTTCATGCAGCATCTTTTGCATCACCCCCAAACAGACCATAGTTCTTTAGGTCCTGAAATTCCTAATTTATAACATGGTTTTGGGTCTCACTTTTGATCTTAGGCTTATGTGTGATATTATGAAGTTACCAGACCTACAGCAGTACACCAGAATATAATTTTAGTTTTACACATGACTTCATAATCACAGTACTTCATTACACATACTTCCAAGTGTTAGTGTCTTATATTAAGTTTGCCATTCTAATAGATATGTAGTGATAAAGGATTCTTTTTAACATTTAAACCTGGGTGAAACTTTACAGCTTTATTAAATTCATAGAGTGCATACGCATAGGTATGTATAAACTTTTATTTTGGAAATTTTCAATATATGCAAAAGGAAAGAGAAAAATATAATGACCAGTGATTGTTACCTCTTGGCTTTAACAGTTGTCAATACTTGATCAATCTTGTGTCATTTATACTGAAAACTCCGCTCTGCCAATCCTACTCAGCCCTGTAAGCCAGTTTATATGGAGTAAATACCAAGCATCACATCATTTCATTATAAATATTTTAGTGTGTGTCTCTAAAACATAAGGCCATTTAAAAAAGTACTGAAACATAATAGTATCATCACACCAAAAGATGATCATATAAGTATTGTAATATCTTACAATTTTGTTTGTTTGGATATGGATTCAAATAACTTTCATACACTGTGATGATTTGGTAAGTTCTTAGATTTCTACTATCTATATCTTTCTTAACCTCTAGTCTTTCCTTGTAATTTTTTTTAGCGTTGTTGAAGACACTAGGTTGATTGGCAGTTTCTAATTCTGGATTTTGTTTTTGTTTTTTTGGTTTCTCTCCGGTACTGGGAACCCAACTCACGACCTTGCGCTTGCCAGGCAGGTGCTTTTGCAGCTGAGCTAAATCCCCAGCCCCTAATTCTGGATTTTGTGCATCATATCCCATTGGTGTGGTTAATGCTACCCTCTTGTCTTTTGGAGTCTTCTTGAAGTGTAATTTGATCTAGGGGCTTGATCTGACTCTAGTACCAATTGGAAGGGGGGACTCATTCATACAGTGTTTGAATTTCCATCAAGGGGCACATAATGTCTGGTTGGCTCTTTCTGACGTATTGTTAGCTACTGATACTTGCCTAAATGCAATGTTTCATTAGAAACTTCAAAGTGATACTCTACTATTCACTCTCGATTTATTAGCTGGAATAATTCTACAATGAGAAAGTTCCCTCTTAGGTATCCTGAGGTTCAACTCATATAAGAAAGGCAGAAGAGATGCCTGATTCACTTCATTTACAAGTCCTCAAAATGATGCGGTCTCTAATACTGTCCAAATATGGCCGATGGGTTTTTAAAAATTTTTGAAGTACTGTACTGTATAATTATGAACTCATAGATTGAAATATTTGATATGTTTAACTATATGAAACATATCAAATCAAATGTTTATTTATATAAAACATATTTGATGTGTTTCAGTCCATCACAGTTTATGTATTTGATACAAGCTTGAAAGAGCTGATGTCTTTTGAGTTCTTCTGACTGCTGGCAGTCTTTGGTAATGTCCTTGCTTTCTGGTATGAGCCGTTCCAGGCTCAACTTGTACCTTTCCTGCCTCAGAATTAGAAGCAGTCATTTGTCCAAGGGCTTCTCATTCCTTTCAATGGCAAACAAAAGAGATACAAAAGTAGTATGTTCCAACATGAGCAGACAGGAGAGCAAAATCTATAGCTTACAGGTTTACGAAACAGTTGTGCTTGAATTATTTACTCTCATTAAAGTGATAGAAATTTGTTCTCTACTTCAAAATGCTAAATGAAGATTATGCGTAGAAATAAATATAAAAACAAATATCCATCCACTCATCTCAGAAACAGCCTTATTTATAAATTCTCTTTTGAAGATCTGAAAAATCTTTTGGCACTGACCTTGAGTACTGCTTTTCTACACCATTTTTAAGAGCTGTCTTGGGGGGGGGCTATGATAACATCTATCATGTGTTAAATTATTTGCTTTAAAAATCCAATTTCTACCATCTGTATATAGTATATAAAACCTAAGGATAAATAATTTTTTTTTTTTTTTGGCTTTTTTTCCGGTACTGGGAATTGAACTCACGACTTTGCGCTTGCCAGGCAGGCGCTGTGCCACTGAGCTAAATCCCCAGCCCCTCCTAAGGATAATTCAAAATTTAAAATATTTTTGACTCATGTAATTTTTGCATAACTCTTGGCAGTGTGCTTTATTCCTAATGGCTTCTTCTTCATGCAGTAATGAAAAGCCTTTACATTTCCAGGTACTATATGGATGGAGGGTAAGGCAGGAAGGCCCAGAATTATGCTAGCTGGCATTAAACCCAATAAAGATGAACATTTTTGCTCCAGATTGATTTAAAATAAAAAAACTAAACACAAAACAGATTGGTGTTTTGGGAAGATAGTCCTTACATCAGTAGGTAAAAATATTTTGTGGTTACATAAGAGGAAGATAGACAACAAAAGGACAGGCAGAAAAGTTATGGCATCTTTTAAAAAATCCATGAAAACGAGGAAGAAGTTAGTGGCTGCAGTCTGTTGATGAATCACTTTCCTCCTGGGCTTCATGATAACAGTCACCTGGGGACAACTGTCCTTTCATAATCTAAACATTCAGCACACAAAGGCAAGGAAAGGTGCTATGTGTCTTCCAAGAGTTCCATGAAAACAGTGGTAGATTTGGGCTTTGAGAAATTCCAGTTAATTAGCTGGTTATTACTCACTAGATTCGTCACTCTCACCTCTGCCATAAAGCTGCCCAACTAACACACTTGCAGTTCCAGAAGCCCTGTAGCAGGAGCAACCATGTGCTAAAGGACTTGAGGGGAAACGAGATCAGTGGACAGAACAAGAGTAAGGGTAAGCCAGTGAAAATTAGGAATTCTTTTAAAGGTTTTCTTAAGTAAAACACTGACAACACTCAGTGGTGGCCAACCTACCGCGTCGGTGCCACAGCGGGCTGTGTGTATCTTCGAAAGCTCTAAAAGGTTCGCCATGACTGTGTTAATTTTTAAATGGACTTTAAATTACCTCAAATTAGCAATGGGATCAATAATATTTCCATTTACCACCCATGCTGATGGGACTATTCTTATAATCTACCTTCTCCCAATTTCACTGAGGTGCTTCTAAATTCATTCGACCCTGTGGCCGTCTTTCCAATGTGCCAGGCCTTTGGATTGTATAGGTGACAGCGCTGAGGCCCGACAACATCTCCTTCTAAGAAGCGCCCTTCTGAACCTCTAGGATGTCGCCTGCTTGCCAAAGTGGAAAAAGAACTTTATTCTTGCCCCACCACCCGCCATTTTTCTTCTCAATCCCTTCAGCTCCCTTTTTTGCTACAAGTGTGATTTCAATATATTCAAACCAAAATTATCAGGGAACCCAAAAATTCACAGGAGAAAATTATATATTTTCAACTATTAAATCCAGGTGAGAGAATATTAAACAGTCCTATCCCTTCCCTAGACACACTTCAAAATCATGAGATTTCATTATTACTGTCTTGGGTCTCAATCTACTGACAATATAAAGGTAGAAGCATCTGTCCCTGCTGAGTGTACAGAAATGTTCTACAGAAAACACAGGAAGTTTTACACCATACTACAGACAAAGTGAGTCCATGTTCCCTCTTCTGTGAGGAAAGCAGGGCTGGAATTACATTCTTCATTTACAAAGCTGGCACGGTGATGCACACCTGTAATCCCAGCACTTGAGAGGCTGAGGCAGGAGGATCACCATGAGTTCCAGGCCAGCCTAGGCCACATAGTGAATTCAAGGCCAGCCTGGACTACATAGTGAGACTTTGTCTCAAAAAAGAAAAAAAAAAACTTCATTTACAAACACAGATGTTAAGTGTTGCCTGTTAATTGGCAGACACAAATTTCAAGGCAGAACTCTTTGTCCCTGAGAAGAACTTATAAGCCCATGAATATCATACTGAAGGTATAAAACCATGTCAAATATTAATTTATTCGTTTCCAAAAAATTAAGAAAAATAAATGGTTTTAAAAGGTAAGGTCATACTGAATACAAAGAACCAATGCACTGTGTGGAAACTGTTTTCAAGGTTGTATCTTTACTATGTCTTTTACATGAAAACAACAGAATATTCTCTGCTGACCAGCCATGTGGCTTTTGCGATATACGCATTTGCCATGAAAGGCAAAGCACTGCCCACTGGCCCCCCCACCCCAGATTCTTAACTAGGTCATTATGAATTTAAGATTCAGTAAGAATAACATCACAGAAACTAGACAAATACAGGATACAGTATTAGCATTTCAGTCCCTACATCACTATATTTTAATTTTGCATTAAAATTTTCTCATAAAATGAACTTTCATCCATTGCTCCTACTTGAAAATAAACTAAAACCCACAATATACTTATACATTGTTTTTGTGGCTGTTGGAATGTTTTTCTAGGAAGATGACAATGAATTTTCTTTTCTTTTTTTGCAAACAGGAAAACACAGAGAGACAGACAGACAGACGGAGACAGAGACAGAGACAGAGAGAAATCTCTTTATATCTCTAGTAAAGGGAAGTCCCAATATTGGTCCGTCTGAGGATAGTGGCTACTGATACACGACTTCAGGAAAAGGACAGACTTAGGCAGAGGACCGACATGTTACTGTTTCTGCTTAGTTCTGTCTTGTATTCGAGATCCAGGAGTGGCACTGTGCGGAGAGGCACAGCAAGTTTATGCTTTGCAGCAATTTTTGAACCATACAAATTAGACACTGCATTTCTCCTTACT